TTGCTTTCCTTCCTGCCCCGTCCCCTCCACCTCCTCTCCCTCCACCTCACTCACCCTGCCTCTTCAATACGCTTTCCTCTGATCTGCCTCCCCCTCCTTCTCCCTTTTCCTCTTTCTCTTCTAATCCAACTCCTCCCTCTCCTTCTCGCTTGCTTCCGTCACCATCACTTTCCACGGCAAACGCAGCCAGTGGCAGCGTTACCGGCTTCGTCGCCGTCACTGTTGCCGCCTTCGCCAGTCGACGCTGTTCGGCGTTGCCCTAGGACTGCATTTCTGCCTCGCGCTCTGGAACACGTTGCGTCGCTCGCGTTTATCCTGAATTTTCAGACGTTTTAAAAGAGACCGGCGACTTAGAATACGTTTACAGTGACATTCACTCAATAATTTCCTCTATCACATCCTTTGAAGTTAGCAAATGAAAATCTTGTATTTAGTACTATTTACAGTTTAATAAAATGTGCATTTTATTTATATTCTTCCGTTTACGCTCTTTTCTCCGGCAGCAAAATTGAAAAGACCTCTAAGTTCACAATTCCTTCTCTTTGACTGACCATTAATGTTGATATACTGGTAGTAATTAATAATTTTATCATAACAATGTTTCTACAGAAATATTCAAATAAAGTTGCTGTTGATTTGATCGAGCTGAAAATCTAAACATCCGAATGGGCTTTAATTGTATGGTTTTAAAGCTACGGCGTACATAACTTTGAGTAATTATTCGATAGTTTATTAATTTTAATAATATGGTACGTATATAATTTTTTAATATGGTACGTGGATAATTTTGTTGAGAACAGCATAAAAATGGCAAAAAATTTTCGAAAATATTTACTAATGAAAATATTAATCAAATATTAGTTGCGTATCAATCAAATATTAAATGGGCGAATCGGTTACTTAGTAATGAAATATCGATTGTACAAAAAGCGCTTTCGCAATACTGCAATATGTTTTGGCTTGATTTGTAAATTGTTCATTTATTCATTAAAAATCGAATAGAGGTTTGTTTCATAAAGCTACATTTCATATTAAATGCATACATAAATGAGTTGCTGTGGGAATTCGTTTTATACTTTCAATTTATTGAGTCTCGAACATACGTGAGAATAATAATATTATCGCATTAAAATGTGAAATTAATGAAAGCAGTTCGAGAGCATTTTTCATTAGAATGAAAATCTTTTTATTTCTCGATCCATGACATCGCATTCTAAAAACGAGCTACTTGCAGAACTCAGGCGCCTCCTCACTTTGAATAGCTTTTTTGCATTATACTTGCACTACGCCAGTGATTTACGGCGAGTTCGCGTGATTGATAGACTTCTCTTCGCGCAGACAATAAAATGCATCGGTTTTTATGCCTTCGGAGAAAATACCTACAATTCATTCTCTAACGGATGTATAGACTTCATACTTGTGGCATATAAACGAAGCGTGTTTCCCCGGCAGTCGGATAGCGGAGGCTTACAGCGGGGAATAAAGAGACACGGAAAGAGCAAATACCGGTGCAATCAAATTTCCATCACTTTCATGCCTTGAACGTATCTAACCATGGAGAATGAAGAGAGATAGAGAGAGAGAGAGAGAGAGAGAGAGAGAGAGAGAGAGAGAGAGAGAGAGACGTGGGAGGTTATAGACGGAAATGAGAGAAAGTGAGAGCGTACGAGAGAGAGAGAGGGAAAATCGAGGGAATGAGGGAAAGAGAGAGGGAGGAAGGGCGAGCAAGAGGGGGAGGGAGAGGGCAGGGTTCCCCCTGCAGAAATCCGGTTGCAATTGTGCTCTCATAAAACTGGGAGGTGCGCTGAGAAGTGGGCTGGGCGCTGTATTTATGGGCTTATGGGATTCTCGTTAGGGCGCCTCGCGAGCGCCTCCCGCGAAGCACAGCGCGGCCGGCGCGCGCCGCAGGGAGGAAGTTTTCTTGCAAAGGGCTCCCCGACTTCTCGGCGCTCGCGGAGGCGAACAGCGCAGCCAGGACGCCAAGAAAAAGGGGCGGTCGAGAGGCGATGTTGAAGTCAGGATGAGAAGAAGATTGATATGGGGGAAGAGGACGATTATGGGGAAAGCAGAAAAACCGCTGTTTGTAAAAATGATGAACAATTAACAAATTCGAAAATTATATTGCGATAAAACTCATTCAAATTTTCACATTTAGTTTCTTAATACTCGTTTCCAAACATGTAGACGTAATTTTATAATAATTCAAATATTAGTAAAAAACTTAGTTTAAAACAATTCGGAAAGTGTGAAAGTGGGATCGTTTTTTCTTGAACTATTTCAAGTGTGCAAACACTTGATTTCTGGCTGCGAAAAAACGGCGAATATCGAAGTTCAAAACCATTTTTTGGTTTGGGAATGAAAGCAAGAATACAAAGATCAAAATAAAACGTTACAAAGATAGGTACGGAGTGGGAGGAGATATAAATAAATTTAATTATATAAATTCACGAAGAATGGATAAAAGATAACAAAAAATTCTGCATTAAAATAACCACATAATGAATAAAACTAATTGCTGGCCGTGAAGTTAGAATACTGATGAGTCTGACAAAACGTCAAAATGTGTTTCATAACCTAAATAAAAATGCCTAAAAAGTAACATATTTAAAGATAAAATGAATGGAATGCTATCTATATTACAGTTTGTTTATATAAACCACGAAATTCGTAATTTAGATAAATAGTCAAGGATTGAAAAAGTCAACGTGTAAAAACACAATCCTGAAAAAGAGAGTCGTTTAGTGCCGTATCAGGAAAAAACAATAGAAAGTTTCAAAGAGAAAAGAGGAGAATGCTTGTAATTTTAAGTTTTTTTCAATAATGTAATGTTCAATAATGTATAAGTTTGAAGATAAAATTAGATATTGAGAGGACAAAATGCTCCAACTATAACTTGCCACAAAAGATAGCGTGGCCGAACTGCAATGACGGGAGAGGGACGTTTGCTCTGACACTCAATCTTGGATATGTCACTTGTGCTTCCAGTGTAGTGACAGTGGAATTGAATAAGTGGAATGGAATTGTAAAGAGTTAATTTTCTCACTGGCCAGAATTCAAAGCATGTTTAATGGAATTCTTCCTAGAATTTTATCGGTCTAGGTCAGACGAGACAGAGATCCGAGCACACAACAAAACAACAGCAAGTTAAACTCGAGCCTCTTCACACCAGAATAGTGGGACACCGGGACAGTTAGTGGAAGATGGACTTATGGGTGGGGCATCCAAGAACGCCGGGTCGGATCGGGTCTACACGCGTCGAGTCGATTCGGGACTAGTCGGCTTGGGTCCTGTCGGGTCGGGTCGGGTCGGGTCGAGTCGGGTCGGGACGGGTCATCAGATCAGTCGGATTGGTATCAGTCAGGGGGTGCGGCAATGCGGTTTGTGCGAGCGCAACAGTGGGGGGAGGGATAGGTGGATATGCCCCAGGTACGGTGAAAAGAGCGAGAAGCATGGAGTGTAGTGAAAGAGCAGAATCCAGGGAGGAGCATGAGTGGGGAATAGCGCATTGCACAGAGTGGTAGGTGCGAGAGCAGAGGGAGCATGGCGTTCTTCGCGCGCCAGGACCGGGGTGGGGGGAGGCGGGGGGACAAGCAAGGGCGAGGGGGGGGGACGGCGAAGGCTTACGTTTTCCGCTCTTAGCTAGGTATTAATTGTATGCCACGAAGCTGAGATGGCACGTATGCGCTGCGGGCGTGGGCGTGGCTCCCGTGACCTGCCGGCGGGTGGTGGACGCGGGCTGGGCGGGTCACTCGCGCAGACCCGTACAAACTTATCTGGTGCCTC